CTAATTCTTCCCTAGGGCAGATCAGAGAGTCCCAAGAATGTGCCTGTCCTAGACATCCAGTTTAAAATGTCCGTCTGCAAACACTCAGTTACATCATTTAAGACTGGTACACACCTTTCACTCTGAATAGAATGCAGAGAGCGCTGTTAATGATGGAGGAAGCTGAGAGTTTCACTTTTTTTTCCTTGTAGGTATCTCATCACCCACCAGTGTCAGCCTTTCACGTCAGTAATAGGAAGGATGGGTTCTGCATTTCTGGCAGCATTCTAGCCAAGTCCAAGTTTTATGGTAAGATATTAAACTTAAACATCCTTAAGGTTACATGCTGGTGTCTTTTGCTTCCTCTGATGGACTTCTTACTCACGCCAGTGTACAGTGAAGATTTAAGAGCGGAGAAAATGCCCAATTAAAGTCTATGTCAGCAGCATAGCCTAAAATGTCATCAGAGCTCCCACTGGATTTTCCAGTTACCTCCTCCAAGCAGGGCAAGAGGGATACTTTCTGGGGAAACTGTCATCTACAAAAACAGAGATGTTCTATGGTGTCTCTTGGCAAAAATTCAAATCATTCAGTTGTGTTGCCCACACAGGGAACGATAGGTAGAAGTCCGAATTCTGCTCTCAGTCACACACATGACAAGCCCATTTGCTTCAGCAAAGTTGTACATGTAAGTGAGTACAGAACTTAGCCCACAACACAATACTTCACAACTCAAATGCTTCTTCAAGATGAGACTGGCAGTGAGATCTCAACTGAGATTTTTCACATCTGCATTTTTCAAATAGAGGTGTAGGACTGTAAGGGTCTGATTTCTCCAGAATTTAAGGTTCTCAGGGATTTGTGGGTGCTCAGTTGTGCACTTGCTTTACATGTGCAATTACTGCGATTGTACTCACAAATCGGGCTTTTTACATATACCCATTAGTGCACACAAAATACCTGACTTGTGTACATGTGTAAATACACAACCTACTCTGATCTCAACTTTCTAAGAGTGGGGCCCTAAAGTTCCACAACAGAATCTACAGATCTGCAGATATGAATATGTAAAAGAACACTGCTACTTTTGGGCCTAAAGATAATGTAATTATTTAAACTAGTTTGTCATATGACAGAACATCGATCAAGTAGTTACATTGGCTGGAATTTGTGACCAGTGACTGCTGTCCTTACAGTATTTATGGCATGTTTGTTCGGGATCATACATAATTAGAAGAACTTACATAATAAAGACTTTGGAAAAAATCCACTGAACTCTAAATGACATAAGAACATAGGAATTGCCTTACCACATCAGACCAACAGTCTGCCAAGTCCAGTTGCCTCTCTCTAGCAGTAGCTAGTACCTGTTGCTTCAAAGGAAGGTGCAAGAATCTCTGTAATGGAGTATTTTAAAATAGGTTTCCACTCCCATTAATTAGTGGCTGGTTTATGCCCTGAATCAATAGGGTTTATTTATTTCATTTAATGTGATCCTACATTAAATTGAAGTCTCATTTTTAAGTACTGGAAAATGTGTGAATTAGCTTAGACATTTGTTTTACAAATATTCACTTATGCTAACCTGTACTCCTATATCTATAGGTAACTCACTTTCTGCGTTATTGGATGGGAAAGCCAAGCTTACGTTTCTAAACAGGGATGAAGACTACATCATTACGATGCCATATGCCCATTGTAAAGGTAGGATGTGAACTGAGTTCAAATATTACGTCCGAAGAAAGCATGCAGAATAATATTATGGATCCTAATGACTCTGGTTTCAGTTCTGCGGTAGTTCTGCTCTCTCACATGAAGTCAGTGGACACTAAATGCATTGATAGTCATAACAATCAAGCCCTGTACTGGTGACGGGATTACATAACACTCATTTGTTACAGAGGTCTGGCAACTCTCACTAAAGTAATTTGAAGTTGCCAAGCATGGCTAAGGGCAGAATTAGTCTGTTGCATGTTTCTATCAACACTATGCAGAAATTAGTAATGCAGAATATGTCATGTGCACTATGGGTGAGGTGACAATGAACATTTTTTCTTTTTACACTTCCTGGCTTTTGAGTATTTATAATTGAAATTTTGATGTTAAAATACAAAGCTTAAGTTAATGCCCTTCTCTGGCTTTTTAAGAAAGACTTAAGGATTTTTATTATTATTATTTATTAACTTTTCTACTTATTTCACCCTGAATCCATTTTTGTGTAGGTAAATGTTTGTGAAATTGGAATTCCACAGTAAAATAGCGGCCCAAACCCACAGTGAGGTTACTATTCAATATTGTGTGTAAATAGTATGGACCAAAATCTGCTCTGTTTATACTGGTTCAAATATGCAGTAACGCCATTCGAGTCAGTGGAACTACTGCTGACTCAACATTGTAGCTAAATACAGAATTTGTCCTTATAACTCTAAACTTGATATGTTGGCCTGCATGAGTAAAGCCAATTTTTCAGAAGCTCAGACCACTTTTTCTTTTATTGGCCTGGAGACTAGCCTTCATTGAGGATTAACCACCTGGAAAACTTTAGCTTTTATAAATTATGCTGTTTTTGAGTTATGCATGCACACAGTCTTAATCTTTTTACAGCACCAGCAGGAAAAGTACGTATTCCCCCCTTTCTTCCACCCACACAGTGATGAACATGCGAAAACATGAAATTCACATAACCTTAACTTGAGTGTTGTCTACCGGAAGAGAATGCCCAGAATCCTTTTGTTAGAAGTCCTCCCCCTCCCATCCATTGCAACACATGGGGCTGGATTTTCACAAGAGCTCAGCTCCAGTTTAGGCATCGAAATAAGTGGAGCTGCTGGGTGCTGAGCACTTCTGAAATTCTGTCCCTTCTCTGCCTTCCGGATCCTACAGCTAGTATCATCACTTGTGAGTGATGGATCTCCTTCTAAAGATAACATCTTGGAACCCCTCTGCAGGGTTTTGAGAGTGTGTGGGGAAGCCAAACAGGGGGAGTGGATGCTTTGTTTAGGTTACATGGCCAATTTTAAAAAATCCCAGGCCTTTGCTGTAGAATTCATGCCTTTGACTAAACATCATTGTGGTGCCCACAATTCAAGAAGGATCTTGGTAAATTGGAGAGAGGGTTCAGAGAAGAGCCACGAGAAAGATTAAAGGATTAGAAAACCTGCTTTACAGTGATAGACTCAAGAAGCTCCATCTATTTAGCTTAACAAAAAGAAGGGGAAGGGGTGACTTGATTGCTTCTGTAAGCATCTACGTGAGGAACAAATATTTAACAATAGGCTCTTCAATCTAGCAGAGAAAGGTATATCATAATCCAATGTCCAGAAGGTGAAGCTAGACAAATTCAGAGTGGAAAAAGGCATAATTTTTTAACTGCGAGAGTAATTAACAATTGGAACAATTTACCAAAGGGTTGTGGTGGGATTCTCTATCAGTCACAATTTTACAGTCAGGCTTGGATGTTTTTCTAGAAGATCTGCTCTAGGAATTCTTCGGGAGAAGTTCTGTGGCCTGTGTTATGGAGGGGTGAGACTAGATGAGCACAAGGATCCCTTCTGGCCTTGGAATCTATGAATTTATAAGAATGTCTGAATTTAGAAACCAGCCCATTGCCTCTTCAAACATCACATCCTATTGTTTTGTTTTAGGAATTTTATACGGTACCATGACAATGGAACTTGGAGGGAAAGTTACTATTGAATGTGAGAAAAGCAACCACAGAGCAGAGCTGGAGTTCAAACTAAAGGTAATAGACATAATGCCCTTGATCTGTCTCAAGCCCTCCAGTTCTTTCTTATCAATGCCAGACATCCGGGAATCACACAAAGAATCTTATAATGGGAAGTTCCTAGTGAGGGAGGAAGTATAGTCTTGTGATTTAAGGCACAGGGCCAGCAGTCGGGAGACTTGGGTTTTACATCCAATTCTGTCACTGATTTGCTGTGTGACCTGGGCCAAGTTACTTAGGGTACTTCTACATTGCAGCTGGGACTGTGCTTCCCAGTGCAGGCTGGCAGCTCAGGCAGAGCCAGCGCGTCTAACCTGCTAACCATAGCAGTGCAGTAGCAGCAGCACGGGTCTTCAGGCAGTTAGCCCGAGCTGCTGCTCTGTGCTGCCACAGCTACGCGGCTGGTTTTAGCATGTGAACTCGAGCAGAGCTAGTGCATGTGTGTCTACCCATGCTGGGAAGCACACTCCCACTGAAGTGTAGCCATCCCCTTAGGGCTAGATTTTTTTAGACCCTGGATTCTATTTTTGTGGGAGCAGTTATTTGTGCGTGCAGTTTAGGTCACCTGTGAAGTCAAAGTTTGTGGCTTGCAGGCAACACTGGGGACTCTTGTAGGCATCCTAATAGAAGTGGGCATTCAGGAAGGATTAAAGGAGAGGGCAGTGGCCTGTCACTTTTCAGGGACGCTGAAATCACTTTTTTTAAAAGCATCAGTTCATTTCTTATTCTGATGAGCAATCTCTGCCTAGCTGCAAACTAAGTACAAAGGAGTGGAGTTCTGCCTAGCTGCAAACTAAATACAAAGGAGTGGAGTTGTGATGGCAGCAAGTCTCGCAAGGTGGGACAGATCCCTTAGGGCAGAGCTGGTGCATTGTTACAGATTTCCAGCAGATGCTGAATCCATTACAAATTCTCCCTGCAGGATTCTGCAGGGAAGGATGATGTTTTACTGTTTTCAACTTGTATTGGCAAAGCTACACAGTTCACTATAGCTTCCTCAAATACCTTTTCAGCAGTGGGGTGCCATTGGGTTTCAAACCAGTGGATTTTGCATCAGGCCCATGGAAAGACTGAAGTTAAGGAAAGTCTTTCCATTGACGTCAGTGGGCTTTGCATCATGCACTCTACATATAAAACTGAACTCCAAGTACCTGATATAACTTAATGCTTATGACCCTGAAATGATTCTGTGTGTAGACCCTGCCTTTACTGGCTTAAAATTTGTCTGCCATGGCCCAAATATGGTTTGGGGAGGTCACTGTAGCTTGCTTGTCAGATATTTATATGTACTATACTATGGCTATTTCTTAGAGCCGTAGCCACATTTGCAATAGACTTATGAGTAATTAAAGATGTGATTCGTGCCCTTGTTAATTTGGGTGCTTGCCTGTTCTCTGGTGGATCACATATGTTCGTTCCTGCCATATTAATTACCAAAGAATCCTTTTTTCATGGATGATGCAGTAATGAATGTTTTACAGTATAAAATAATCCTGTGCAGCTCCAACTTGCAAACAATGTTGAAAAGCAGCAGTTAGAACTGATGAAGAAATATCATTGGGTGGTGGAAATGGAGCAGCTGGTCACTCTGTTGCCTTCATTTCCTGTGTTAACCAGGTGCAATGTGAAAAGGAATTTTCTATTGTTCTAAGGAGTCTCTGGAAATACCCTTTTGCATTACCCACTTAAGCCTTGTCTACACTGAGGATTTGCACCTATTACAGCCATTGGTGGCCAGACACTGGTATAGTTTCCCTGTTATAAACAGGGAAAACCACTATTTGTAATGCTGCTGTTTACACCTGCTTGACACGGGGCTTAAGCTGCACTATTGCAAACTTAATTTTGGAGGAGTTTACTTGGTCTGCACTAGGAATTTGCACTGGTGGGTGAAGCTAGATCAGGCTCTAGACACCAATGGACGAAATTGGGGCAAATTCCCAGCACAGACATTGTTGGATGTTAATATACTTGAAAGTCTGTACTTCTTCCCTTGTGTCTGCTGCAGCGCCTTCAGTATCAGAGGCAGATAGGATTGGGCACACTGGTAAAGGGTATAAATGCCAGAATTCTTGTCTTTCCTCCCAGTGACACTGGAAATCTAGCAAGTTTTCAGCTTTGTTCTTGCATACTGTTTGTTTTTTGGATCTCCTCCAGTTTTATCCAGACAGATTGTATTTTTTTTTCCCCCTCAACAGCCCTTCTTTGGTGGCAGCACAAGCATTAATCAAATCTCTGGGAAGATTAAATCAGGAGAAGAAGTGTTAGCAAGCCTTGATGGACACTGGGTAACACATCTTAATCTGCACTGCTAACATTTAAAAAAAAAAAAAACACACACAACTGTGTGTGGTCATGGGGAGGGGGGAGGATTATAGCTTGAAAACTTTGAGAGCATTTTGTTATTTTCTCTTTGTTTGAAATGGAGCCTGGTTCCAAACTAACATCTCTGCCTTCCCCACATCATTCATAGTTAACAGCGGAGGATGGAGTTCAATGGGACATAAAACAGAGGTCCTGACTACCTCTGGTCTTTAAAGCTCTGGTAACCTAGTCAGACTTAAGTGCAGGTGACTATAGTCTGAGTACCTGGACTTCTAGGAGCCCATTGGAGTCTTTCCAATTACTTCAGTGATCTTTGGATCAGCTCAGAGCAGATATTGATGGCAGCAGACAAATTGCCAGCCCTAAACCAATCAGGATACTTGTCTGGCCTCCATTACCAGCGTATCTGAATGCCTCACAATCTTTAATGCATTTATCCTCACCACACCGCTCTGAGGTAGGGCAGTGCTATTATCCCCATGTCACAGATGGGGAACTGAGGGAGAGAGAGAGACTGACTTGGCAATGGTCATGCCATAGTCTGTAGAGGAATTGAACCCAGAGACCTAGGCTAGCACCCCAACCACTGGACCATCCTTCCCCTCAAATGCGACGTTAAGCAGTATTTGAAATTTAGTCCGAATGTATTCACTCTTCACCATGGGGCGGGGTGTGTGTGTTTTCAATTCCAACTCTAATCACCACTGTGTGCGCCTCCTGCAATTTTGAGTAGTGCTGGATTATAGATTACATTCTCCATGCTGTTTTCTGTGAATGCTGTTGATTACATTACATAACACAGTCATGCTGTCCTAGAGTCTAATGCCATCCAATTGCATGCCACTCGGCTTCCTGCATTTGTAATTGGGTTTCGTCAACCCTGAAACAATTTGTTCCTCCCTTGCCTTTTGCAAAGAACAATTTGCACAATGTGTTATGTAAATTTCATGGCTTCAAAAGAGCAAATCTGCAAAATGCTCTTTGGTTTTGGGTGCTGTGTGTTGGGGTGGCATGGGGAGAGGGGATGTTATTGTTCAGGAAATAAGAATATCAGCCTATTCTCCGAGCTCTGCCTGCTTTCCTCCAGCATTATGCAAAATCTGTCTCTTGTCCATCCACCTCATAATTTAAAGGAGCCACTGCTGATTCCATGCTTTGGGAGCACAATCCCCAGGGGACAAGGAGAGGAGCTGGTTCTGGGTCAAGAAGCAAATCCCAAAGCTTCCCTAGGCTCTGGGGTATGATGTACACATGGAAGCTGTCAGCACCTGCAACATGTTAGAAGATATGCACGTGTTTTTTTTAATGGACTTGTAGATACAGATCTTATAAACCTGCCATTCAGACTGTTAGTGCCTGCCTCCTCCAAGCTCCACAGCTGGAGAGTATCTTGGGGATCTATTATCCTGACTTGGGACCAACTCCTCTGGTCTTCCCCAACCGGGGATTGGTTCTCAGACTGAGATCTTGTCTCACCTGAGAAGGGCTATGGAAGGGGTTAGGGTTCTGGAAGGAATCTGAAGGTGAGGAGGAGACTGGGGGACTTAGCGTGGGGTGAAAGAGGAACTGTAAGTGAGAGAAAGTGGCTGGAAGCTTTGCATAAGGTGGGAATGAAGCTGAGCCTAGGAGGCAGGTTATAGGTGTACCAAGGTCCATTGCGTGGGAAGGAAAGCAGCTGGGAGGCAGGTGGATAGACAGTGATGGGTGAAATAACTATCCATGATCTAAACATGGCCTGGACAATATTCACACCATGTTCAGATGGCTGAATGGCATCAACCTTCATGCAGTTCAGCAAATGTGGTAATATATAATTCATTCCAGCCTAGTGATGTCAGGCTGTTCACTATATGCTGTGTAAATTACCACTCATATTCATTTTGTTTGGGGTGTTGCTTTGTCTGTAGGCAGGCCTACAAAGTCACTTCGTTAGGCAGAGACACGAAGACATCACCTAATCAGTCTCTAAGCGGTGGAGCTCTATTAGTAGTTAGTTGCCAAATAAATTGACAAGGAATGTGGATGAAAGGCTGGTGGTGGCATTTGAAGAACAGAGTCCCCCTTTCACATGGTGTATTTCCCGTTTCTATTAAAATTGCACTGTGAGGTTTTGTAGTCTCTGCTGTGCAACTTTCTTGGGGTTTCAGCAGTGATGGTAAGGAGAAAGTGTTGGCAAGGAAGGAGAGGAAGTTGCCTGATGTTGAGCTTTGGCTCCTGTAATTGTGTTCAGATACTAAACTGAGGGGGGCCATGTTAGCACCTATATAAATAGTCTTGTGGGGATGAACTTGTGGTCAGCTGGTGAATGTGGTTCCTTCTCTTTTGCCCTCTGATGAACTCAGCCAGTGTTTCTTATTTTCAGTAAACTCCCTGCTCCGCTTGGATAGTCTTCAGAAAACATTTAGTGAACCTGTCTGGAGATGGGGAGGGAACCGACCTCAAACTAACTCCCGCTCCCCAACCTGGCACCAATCTTCTGCCAATGTTCCTCAGGATTATTTGCCTGTGTGTTCCTGCAGTCACTAAACCTTGCCTTTCATTTTCCCTCTCAGGATGGGGAAGTGTATATAAATGACTTGAAAAATGGGAACACTGAAATATTCTGGAACCCAACCAGTGAGGTGCGGAGGCAGAGACTGAAACGCCACATTGTGCTATTTGAAGAGCAAACGGACTTTGAATCGGAGAGGTGGGTAGGTGGCTGGAAACCAACCTGCTGAGCTTCCTGCTGGTCTTCATTCAGTTGGAACTAAATAAGAGGTCCCTGAGACTCCAGCAAGATGCTGGAAGGATTATGCCCTTGCTTAACCTGTGCATGTTTCCCTGCTGTATGTTGTCTTTTGTTCCTTGTGTATTAGCGATGATGTATTCTCAGGGCCAGCTCCAGGGTTTTGGCCGCCCCAAGCAGCCCAAAAAAAAAAAAAAAGTTGCGATCGCGATCTGCGGCGGCAATTCGGCGAAAGATCCTTCGCTCTGAGCGGGAGTGAGGGACTGTCCACCGAATTGCTGCCGAATAGCTGGACCTGCCGCCCCTTTCCGTAGTGGCCGCCCCAAGCACCTGCTTGCCAGGCTGGTGCCTGAAGCCAGCCCTGTGTATTCTTTCCAAGGAGTATTAATGATAGCATGACCAAGTCCTAGATTTCAGAAATGGTAGAGGCCACTCTTTTGTCAAGTAAAATAAGATAATTTTTTCAGGACTCCAGAGAACATGAAAAGAAATCTGTTATAACCACTGGAACTGAATACCAAGGGATATGATAGATTTTTCATCTGGTGTTCTTTAAATCAAGTTTGGATATCTTTTTTTTGTTTGTTTTTTTGTTTTTAAAGAAGTGCTCGGCTTCAACCACAAATTGTTAGACTAGAGACAGAAATCGCTGGCCTCCTGCATAACACAGGCCATAGAATTTCACTCAGATTGCATGATCACAATGGCCCCTTCTGGCTTTGAAAATCTAAGAGACATTAGATGCGTAAGCCCCAAAATCATCAATTGACCTCCATCAATGGGGGCACCACTTTTTTTCATACAAAACCCAGCATTTAACATGCTGATCAGGAAACTGCCTACCTGAATTACACATCCAAATGTACCTCTGCATACATAAATGCAGGGGCAGCATGCAAATGAATGCCCCTACACACTTTGCAGGCATGTCAGGAAATGCCATCTGAACATCTAGGCCTCCATTGCAATGGAATATCTATGAAATAAAAGTACTGCACTGATAAGGTCCACATGTGCAGCCTATATTTAGTGCTATAAATACTAAATAAATAAAGCTGACTTCAAAAGAACATAGACTTTTTAAAAAAATCATTGTGAAAGATAATTTGCCTGCACCCCAAAACAAAACAAAAATCTCAGAATTTGGAGCAAATAGTTTGTAGTTTTTATTTACCAGGGTATCACCAAAGCTGCCTAGCTGGCTGACTCCCTTCAGCATGCCAAAGGCTAATATGTGCAACATGTTGTATTGGGGGGGCAGGAGGAATGGCTGTTATGGTAGTGGCGGCATGAATGAATTACAGTCTAATACTGAATCAGCTATTCATCCCACAGCCCTGGATATCACCTGCCCATGTGTAAACTTTGCAGTCCGTGACGCATATGCTGTTGTGCAGCAGAGTATGAAAAGCCTCAGATTGTGTAGAATCTGCAGCTCTCTGAGGGGATGGAGAAAACTGGCCGTGTCACAAAATTCACTTTTCCTACTGCTTCTGAGCCTGCGAATAAAGGAAGGAAGGCCCAGATTTTTAAAGCTATTTAGGTGCTGCCATGACTGTCAACTCCCAGGAGCCTAAATCTCTTCCTAAAATGAAGTTAGGCAATGCTGAGCACACCGGTGCCTAAATAGCTTTAAAAATCTTCACTACATTGATGTGTACTGCAGTTACACCAGTAATACGCTGGTGTAACAGAGTGGAGACCATGGTCCAAAACCTAATTTTTGCAAGACATCAAAAGGCTGAGACTATTGGACACAGGCTCACACCTATTACTATTCATATTATAGTGGTGCCTAGAGGCCCCATTGTCCTGTACAACTGCATTATACAAATGCAGAGTATGAGAGAGTCTCTGCACCAAAGGCGCACAGAGATGAAATGATTTGCCCAAGGTTGCACAGCAAGTTAGTGGCCAAACCAGGAGCAGAACCCTAGTCTTTTAGCTCCCAGGTCAGTACCGTACCCACTCCACTCTGTTACTGTTATCTGCAGTGTCTGCAATAGGCTCCCTAACAAGAAAAACAAGGTAGAGGGTACAGCTGCTCCTCTCCACTGATGTGATTCCCTGCTGTTTGTGCTTTAAACTCGCTTCTTATTGCTATCTCTTTGTCTGGTTCAAATCTAACTCTGGAAGCTCTTCTTTCTGAGATCAGAAGAATGGGCAGTTTTCCCTGTAAAAGGTTCTAAAAAGCCGGAGACCGTTTCCTTTTCTCACAGACTTATTGGAACAAGGGTAATGGTGGCATTGTTCTAAAAATAATGCTATCTTCCCATCTCAGCTGCTGGGAGTCCTAGGATACAGGGAGGCTTTGATCTGTAACTCAGCAAGAGCAATGCACCTTGTGCTTCTAGTTACTCTAAGGAATACTTGTATGTTCATTGGAAAACTTGCTATGCAAATCTTCTGTACAAATGAGCAGACCACCCCAGCACCTCTTCTTGGCCAGTGTCAAACAGAAATCTAGAATACCGAGGGTGAAACTCAGGGCTGAGTTGCCACTGACAGGCAGAATGGTCCCATGGATGAAACACTAGGCTGGGACATTGGAGTCCTGGATTCATTTCCTGGCTCTGCTACTGACCTGCTGGGTGACTTTGGGCAGGTCACTTCCCCTCTCTGTGCCTCCAGCCCTTTGTCTAGTCTATGTAGATTACAAGCTCTGTGGGGCAGGTAGTGTCTCTTCCTAAATGTTGTGTACAGCACCTTGCTCACTGAGGACCCAGACAAAGGCCCTGATCCACCAAAACCTTGAGGAGTGTTTGTTGTTCTCAAAAACAACAAGGAGTCTGGTGGCACCTTAAAGACTAACAGATTTATTTGGGTATAAGGTGCCACCAGACTCCTTGTTGTTTTTGTAGATACAGACTAACACGGCTACCCCCTGATACTTGTTGTTCTGAGTTTAGCTAATCTGGTGCAAACCCATCAATCCCCTAGGTAGACCCTTGTAATTGAGCTGCTTCTAGCAGACAGACAACTGGCAGTTTTCAGCTGTGTGCTACTCTGTCTCCGCTGAATCCTGGGTGCTCTAACCATAGGATTCAGATTGCAAGAGTTCTACCTTATCTGCCCCCTCCTCTCCACAGAATACTAAGTATGCTTACATCTTCCTCATGATTGTCTGAACGCCCTACTTGATCTCAGTACAGCATATGAACTGCACATCAAGCAGCAAATAGAAAACCTAACACTCTGCACATCTGTCTAGTCTAGGTGTTTGCAATGTGCCATCACCTGTGTACCTGAGGGCAGTTCCAGAACACAGATGCTGTGTCATTTGAGGATCTTGGGGAGCTTTACAAACATAAATTAAAGAACACCCTCAGTTTAAAATAGACTCTAGTATAGACATGGCCTCATTTTCTGAGATGAAAGTTGGGTGACAGAACTTTTTGCTAGCTTACAGCTGCCACCGTTGCTAAAATGGTGGAGCGCCTGCACGGTTGGCTGCTTTTGCTGGTGTTGCATGTCCTCGTGGCAAGAGCCTGTGTTGACAAAAACCACACAGAACAATGGGTAGCTTCACATATTGCACCTGCCCTGGAAGCCTCTAGGCCAATTATTGTGCTTGTAGAATCACTTTCCTGCATGTGTGTGTAGTTTTAAAACAAACAAAAAAAACTTTCCCTCCCCTGTTGCTATGTGAAAGACCCACATAGAGAGGAAACAGTAAAAGTCTAATCACTAGATTATTCTCTGCCGTTTTTGGATGGCTAAAATGGCTAAGCTATAATCTGTCTGACCAGAGTGTTTCCAGTCGTCTTCAGCCCTTTACTAACGTTTGTTTCAAGCTTAGAGTGCAACAGAATTACACCTCTACCCCGATATAACGCTGTCCTCTGGAGCCAAAAAATCTTACCGCGTTATATCGAACTTGCTTTGATCTGCCGGAGTGCGCAGCCCCGCCCCCCCAGAGCACTGCTTTACCGGGTTATATCCGAATTTGTGTTATATCAGGTTGCGTTATATCGGGGTAGAGGTGCATTTATTAGATTCCAGTGGAAAGGGAGGCACAATTTGACTTGTGTTTCCAAGGTGAAGGGAATAATGGTGGGGGGAGAGATGTCAATAAAACATCAAGGGCCAAATCTTATAAGTTAGAAGCTCTCTGCACAGGAAAATATATGCATGCAATTGGACACCTACATTTGTGCCTTCAGTTTATGGTGTTTGCAAGTGCAAATCAGCGAATTACATATTTAATTGGTTATTTAGACCATCTAAATAGACATTTTCATGTGTGAATATCCAATTTGCATATACAGCTGCAGTCCTTTTCATGTGCATTTTTCCCCACATTTAGAATTTAGCCCTGGTTGCAAGGCTACTCTGACTCAAATCTCCGTCTCCTAGACTTAAATAGTTAAAAGGGCCAGTTCAACAAAAGGTTTTCCTTTTTACTATGGTCACCTTTTAAACTTACCACTGGTCCCAGACAACGACGCATTACCGCCTTACTATCTTTAGTGTTCAGATGATCTTATCTGAGGAGAAGATGGCCAGTTCTTAAGGCGGTTGTATACGCTGTATTCATTTTCATCCTCCTGCTAAAAGTCCATTTTAAGCCAAAGCTCAGGCTGACTAAACCTATTATAATTCTCCTAGTGCCTCTCAGTGGACTAGACAAACATTTTTTAAGGCTCCAGCTATCTGAGCGTGGTGCTGGTTTTGAGGCAGTTGTATTTGATTCCCTGTTTGTTTCTAGACTTTGGCAGCATGTAACAAGTGCAATAAACAAAGGAGATCAACACAAGGCAACTCAGGAGAAATTTGTATTGGAAGAAGAGCAGAGGAACGCTTCACGGGAGCGGAAGGAGAATGGCACGGAGTGGAAGCCGCTGCTCTTCCGACATGATGCTGCTACCAATGAATGGCACTACAAATACGAAGAGTGAGTGACTCGAAGCATGTATAATAAGTGTGGCTATAATGGGTTAAGTGCAGACATTGGTTCTTGGGGTCCAGTCAGAAATACAAGGTGCTACACGCATACAGCATACACTGGCCTGCTGCACTTCCATCTGATGCTTGGGAACACTGGTCCTGCTCTTGACCAGATTGCATCTTGACCAGGCAACCTTCCTCCTGAATTCTCCCCAGTGAGTACTTGAATGTGCAGTCCTTTAAAATGAAAGTAGACAGATCAGTGGAATATCTCCTGTGTATTGGTACAAATCGAGGCCAGATCTGTAGTGTCGAGAAGGTGTGTTACCCGCTGCAGGAGGTTCAGCAGCCTGTGTGATCTGAGTTGTCAGTCTCAGCTCAATTTCCTGAAGACACATCCATATTGCAAAACCTCCACCGCAGCTGGTTCTCATGAGCACCCTTGTTAGCAGCCTTGGCAAAGAAAAGAAACCAAGGACTCAGAGAACCGGAAGACTTCCCTGCCTTCCTGCTGTAGGTTTGTTACCTCTCTGTCTGGCTCAGGGTTGAGGCACACAGATGGGCCAGGATGGAAGCAACTTATGTTCATAAATGCCTAATTGCCCCCACCCTGGTTCTGTGAGGCACACCAGTTAAGCCCAGGGCTAAATATTTGCTCCTGTGTGTTTGGAATTCATGCATTGCTTTTTTAACAAACCTGCTGCAGTTCTGTTTTTTAATACTTTCTTTTTGCTTCCAAAGTTTAAGGCCCTGGGACCCTTTAAATGACATTGCCCAGTTTGAGAAAGATGGGATACTTCAAACCATGGAGAGGTACCTATCCACAAGGATGTCGTCCCACAAAACCATGTGTATAAACAACCAAGTTATACGACACAAGGTAACCAGCACTCAGCCAGAAAGCCTCTCTCTGGGAAGTGTTTTTCTTTGCATCTTTCTTCATATACTTGTATTTCTTTGATCGAGTGCTCAGCTCTGATTTGCCATGTTTTTAGACACCACAAAATCCAAGGGCTGCATCTGACATTAGAGGCTTGTTTCTCTAGCTGTACTTTGCCTCTGATATTTCCCTGGTGCCTACTCCAGGTGCTAATCTGCTAATATTTTTTGGTAAGAGGCTGACTGGGTGAGTTCCTGTTTGAAGGATCATTGTAATTGTGCTGGGATTTGTTGTAATACTAATTACATGCTAGGACACCTAGAGCCAGGGCCGGCTTTAAGCCGATTCACCCGATTCCCCGGAATTGGGCCCTGCACCGAAGAGGGGCCCGCACCTGCGCCTAAGGGTCTTCGGCAGCATTTCGGCAGTGGGGGGTCCTTCGGTGCCGCGGAAAACCCAGAGCGGACCCCCTGCCGCCGAAGTGCTGCCGAAGCCCCGGACCGCCGCCGAGTATTCCAATCGGGCGCCACGGGTCATAAAACCAGCCCTGCCTAGAGCCTGGTATAGGCAACACTTCTTATTTAAATCTAAAATAAAATCAGAATCCTTGATTAATTGACACTGTGTGATTTGTATTAGATAATATCTTCCCCGCTACCAATTTAAAAACCTTTGATTCTTTTCTTATGTTGGGTGGTGAATGGGGTTGAACTGAACTTTACTGTTTACAAAGCACTTCTTTAGGCTGGATGTGATCTAGGGGTCTGAGCAGAGGACTGAGGCCCCGGAACTCAAATTCTAATCCTGACTCTATCACTTCCTTCCTTCTGGACAAGCCTGGCAATCTCTGTCTATCCACTTTCCCCATTTATAAACCATAAATAACTAACGAGAATAAAGCAGGGAGGTAGATATTGTTCCCTTTTACAAAGTGGCTTCTGAAATGTGAAGAGCTATATAGAAGTGCTAAATACTAGTTAGATATAGCCTATACCAAAATCCTGAACCTGTATCTGGATACATAGCTCACGCCTTTTTATAATGGCCTGAACCTGAACACCTCTGAAATTTGGGGAAGTTTAGATTTGGATCGGGATTTCAAACTCTGTGTTCACTGGTGTCTGGCTATATAGCTTTGGTTCTCCCATTCTAGAGAGATGGGGTAGAATTTTCAAAAGCGCGTGGGAAATGAGAACACAAGTACCTGTGACTCCTAATGGACTTGTGCTCCTAAAATCTCTTTGGTGCCTTTGAAAATCTCCCTCATGAGATTTGGATCCAGATCTAGGCTATTGGTGTGGGCCCATCCCTGTTATGCACTAGTAGCATAATTCAGAGCCAGCAAGAGAACCACAAAATCCAGCAGGCCAAATTCATCCCTGGTAAAAGCCTGTTGAAGTTACACCAGGGGATGAATTCGGCCTGCTGGATTTTGTAGTTACTGAAAAATCTTAGCTTTTGGGAATCTTCTTTTTTTTTTTGGGGGGGGGGGGGGGGGGGGGGGGGGGAGGTGCGTGTGTCTCTCTCTCAAAATCAGATATTTAGGAACTGATCCTGAGAGGTTCTGAGCAGGTGTTCAGTCTCCCTCATGATCAAACCCTTAGATTCCAGAGAATTTTCCCTACCAGACTGGATAACACTTAGTCAAATTGTTGACAGTGTTCCTTTTAATAACTCCCATTGATTTAGAGATCTGCGAAAGACTGCAGGCGTCGTAAAACCAGTGACCAACCATCCAACCACAGCCAAAACACTGAGAGCAGCTGTTCAACACCAGAGTCTGTGCAGGAGCTGTCGGATGATGATGGCAAGTATTTGGCAAACGCTGTGCCAGATTTTAATACCTTTGCTCAAATTTAGCACCTTACTGCTCTGAGGAGCTAAGGTACTTCCCAGTCTGATTACAGGTGTCAGAATCTGGCCCATTGACTTCCTTTGACATTGTTTTACTGATAGTGTTTTAGAAATACCTCTCACTCACCTTTTCTGTCTTCTGTCCTGTCCTTCCTTACTAGTAGTAACACACATGTCAGTGACAGGCTGTAGTGCTTCTGAGGGCTTCCCAAGGGCTGACTTAGCAATATCAATCATTTCTGTGGCATGAAACGTTGAAAAATGTGCACTGTGACCACTCAATACCACTTTAGGAAGAGAGCAGGCCTATTTTTCCACTATTCTTTTCTCTCTCCACCCCCTGTTACGTTTGTTGAAGGGGCTAGCAAGGCGCCCTTGAAGATGAGAGCGGGGAGGGAGGGGTTGCAAACCACTATATAGTTGCACTCACCCTACAAAGGAGGAAGCTGGGGATATTTGTGGGGGAGGGGTTCTGTGTGCTGAGAGGATACCAGTCTGACTTCATATCAGCTTCCCTCCGGGGCTTGGTTTTCATGATGAAAATTCCACTCAGCATTAAGTTCCATGTTAGCAGTGCCCTTTATTTGAAGTACTTCACTGCATACAGCTGCTCACTTGCTGGGGGATTTTGTGGCATGTGTCAGAGGTCTCCCTGTCACCAGAGATGTGTGGTAAATCTGGTTGTCCCTTCAATGTTTTGCCAAAGGTTTTGAAAGTCCATGTACACGGTGCGGAAAAGAAATGAATCACCTGAAGGAAATCCACATGACTGTCTTATCCCTACAGAAAGCCCAGCAGGACATACACAGGTAACGATTTGCATTCATTAGCAGCATGATCTCAATAGGACCAAAATAACCTCTGGTGTTTAACTCCTCTGAGCCGGCCTTTGGAGTCTGGTTAATTCAGAGGGGTGCAGTTTCAAGGTATAACAATAAGTATCGTATTAAAATTGGGAAAAAAAGGCTTAGCAAGCCTTCACATAAAAGACTGAGAGGATCTTCTCTTAGCCCCATCTGGGAGCATTACAGATCTTCCAGCTCGTAAAGCTACAGCATAGATGCAGACATCCGGGGAGCTCACCAGGGTACTGGCTAGAAGTCTGATTGCTAGCTGGCCATAGAAGGCCCTAATCGTCAAGGAATCCAACATGCCTACATTTGACTTGCAGCCCCAGGGATGGAGCTGCACAGAGATCTCGCTGCTCTGCTTTCACTGTTTCTCCTCTGACAGCCTCAGTCATTGCAGGAGAAACAGAGGCCCGAGAGCCTATAATTGGATCTTGGCAGATTCAGTTCATGCTTTTTAATAAGGTCTCTGTTTTATATCATGTCTGAGAGATGGGTGATCACACCTGCTTACTGCACTGGCAAACTGGAGCTGCACCTTCTGAAATGGTCATGTTTGCAGTAGGGGTCCATTATGGCTTTTATACTCTGACTCGCCTTGGGGTCAGGGTGCTGCCGCTCCATCCCTGCAGGCAGGGCCGGTGCAAGGAAGTTTCGCGCCCTAGGCGAAACTTCCACCTTGCGTCC